TTGAGCTGTAAATTTCTTGTTTTCTCGTTTTCTAATAATATCCTCATCTTTTCCTCTTCTTCTTTAGTCGTCTTCAATGAAGAATCTACATCGTTTAGAATTTGCTGTAAATTTTGCAACTTTTCAGCTAGACTGCTCACTTCATACTTCATTTCAGAATTTTTTTCGCTAGCTTCTTTTAATTGTCCCAGCAAATCTTCTATCTCCAGATTTTTTCTCAGGAGCGCTTCATTAAGACTACTGACTGTTGATTTCGACTCTTTGAGCTCTTCTTTTTTGCCAAGCAAATTACTTGTTTGTAGCCTTAGTTCATTATCTTTTTCTGAACAAGAGTTTTGTAAAGCAAGTATCTCAGCCTTATACTGCCCCTCCAGTTGTTGATACTCCTGCATTGCTCTCTCTTGTTCCTTCTTTTCATTTTTCAGCAACATCTCGACTTCTTTCAAGGCATTACTTGTGTCCTCTACTTGACTCTGACAAAATGAACACTCTGTCCTTATTCTATTGATCTCCTCTCTGGCTTGTTCAATTTCTTCGTTTTTCTGTTTCAGTTCATTTTCGCTGTTTGTGTTCTTTTTAGCAAGGTCTTTGTAGCGTTCTTCGATATCACTAAGCTCATTTCCTAGGCGCTCGATTACTTCTTTGTGCTCAATTTTGTTTCGGATCAGGGCCTGCTCCATCTCATGTTCTTTGCCAGTCACCTTTATCTGAAGCTCTTCAAATCGTAGCGCAAGGTCTTGAAAATCTGTAGCTCTTTGCTTTGCATCATCTCTCTGAACACCAAGCATTTGTTCACCAGTCAACACACCATTCTCTAGTCTTACCAAGTGCTCTTTTAAGGCATTGCACATGTTACGTGTTGTCGAGATCTTTTGACTTGTCTCCTCTTGGAGGGCCTTCTCATTCTGTAGCTTTGAACTTACACTTTCGTTTAAGAGCTGCAGTTCAAGAATAGACTTTCTAAGGGAATCTATTGTTTTGGATGCTTCTGTAATTTTCCTGTCTTTGTCGCTGATTTGTATCTCTGTATTGATTTTCCACTGTCTCAGCTTCTCAGTTTGTTGATATAATTGTGAATGTAGGGTCGTAAGCCTTTCTGCCGTCCTTGGTTCTCTGTGCTCTTGATCCTCATGATGCCGACTCTTTGTTTCCTGTGCCAAAAGTAAAGGTTCTGGATCTTTTGTACGAGTAGAAAGCTTCTGGAACCTTGGAGCACCGCCGATCGGTCCAAATTCACCGCTACTCGCTTCATGCTGCCTTGCTGATTGTTTTGACCGGGGGGAAGCTCCTTGTGTTGGATTGAATAGGAAGCCTTGCCTCTGCATTTCAATTGTTTGGAGCAGCTTATCCTACAAAATTCGTAATGTAGTTACAGTAAGGCTAGATCTAAGTAAATGATATATCAATATTCTCAGTCACAAATGGATATAAACCATTTAGTTATCAGTTTACTACAACTTTCTTCTCTTGACTTTCGTGTTGCTTAAGAAATACATAGTTGACTCTTACTTTCATAGCAAATACATAACTAGACATTCTTACGTCTTTAGTAGGAAGAATCTTACTGAATAAGTTTATAAGAGTGGGATGGCTTGAGGACTGTACAGATCGGTTGAAATTGCAAACTTCACATTTTTACTTGTTGTGCAAGTAAATGATTCCAAAAAGGGTATGTTTAATAAAGTTCACAGTTTGGTTTACTTTTTTAAGAAAACATATTCGAAGGCAGGTATGCATTTTATCTTCTTCCTGGCACTGCCCATTGTTATCATGGTAAGCTATAATACGGAAAAACAAACTACTAAAAGCGATCTAGCTCACGTTCATAGCTTAAAACTTTGAAAAAGAATTTCTAAAAGCTTTTAGACCAGGCTATTGAGTTATTTGACCTTTCTTTTTGGGTTGAGAATAAGGTTCCAGCTTATACATACTAAGTCATAAATCATATATCATAAGTCATAAAGAGTTAAAACTTATACATACTTTCTAGATCATAAAGTGTAAGTATTTAACTAAGATCATAGGATTTTGAAAAATGGTGAATCTTTCGATATGGAGAAAAAGTTTTTATTTTTGCTTCCTGTTTAATGTGCTCGATTGTCATTTTTCATTTGTAAAAGAATAGTTGGCCAGGGAAAAGTTGCTATAAAACATTAAAGCACAGATATACATGCAAAAGCCACGGTCCCATTTGCACGGCCTACTCCTGCCAATGACAGTCTTTATTTTGACAACAGAGGTTTTACTACTAAGAAACAAAATAGACAAGCGGAAGAAAATATAAGGTTTTAGTTAGATTATCTTACTTCTCTTACTTTTCATGATAGGACTTCATGTTGCAATATGCAAGGAAAGGATGCAACTTTCAAAACAAACTCAGATAAAACAGGTGAAGGCAAAATTCAAATCATTTTTGGTATATCATTGAAAGGAAATGTGGAAGACCTTTATGAATCGCTAGGCAAATCAGAAAAAATTTGGAGAAGAAGGAGAAAAGAAAACACTGAAATAATCAGGATTCATAAAGGAATAGCGAGAATGATTCATTAATAATAGGATCTCGATTCCAAAGCAAGAAAGTACAATATCTCTCAGAGAAATTTTTAAAAACTGTAAACTGTAATGGCTTAAATCTACCATTCGGTTTGGTGGGTTTAACAATTAACTCGGATAAACACATTCAATTGTACACCCAGTCTCATCTTTTACAAGAAAAATCACTTCGCTTCTTTAAACTTCGGTTTGACACCTACCAAGTAGCTATGCACTATATAAAAAAACAGAACTTACAGATGTCCATGGGCTAACTCTGTTAAAATATTTTATTATTCAGTACAATATTTTCTTATTCGTCTCTTTTCTTATTCACCTATATTGGTAATCAAGCAACACATTTTTCAAAACTGAAGGTCTATTACACGGTGTTCCACAATATTTTTTTATCAAAGAAATTACAAAAAATTAATCTCGTTTATTTCTTATTCATTCGATGAAAATTTGAATCCTATAGGCTTACCTTTAATTCACTTTCTTTGTCTTTATTTTTCCAATTTCATGTTGGCCGCCAACTGCCTCCCTCTTGATTATTAGCTGTACGCGTCATCCAAAACAAATTTCACTTTCGCGCCACTAGCAGTAGCTCGACCCAGATCCCTCTCGATGAAGAAATTGCGGTTTCATGCGGTTTCTCGTTAAATGTGTGCACTAATTTGAAGACTTCATTCTTGACACGAGATAAAAGCAAGCTAATTAAGGTTTACATCTTAATCTTAGTGGCTTGTATAAGAACTATTTTTCAACTAGAATTTGGCTTCAAAGTTTCGTAAATTAAAAAGTTACCTAGCTTCAAGCGAATCAGCATCTGGTATTTTCCTTCGCTTTCATGCCCATAGTTCACTATTTTGCCCAGTAATTGTTTGTGTATGACCTGAACATTTTTGTTTCTCATTTCGAGTAAATGAATATCAGTCTTTTTAGCTCAATTTATTAAATATAAAACCATCACAGAATCACGTGACTTGCTCCGGGTTAAAGTCAGGTAAAGTCTGGAAATCGAACGAAAAACGACAGAATTTCATAGCAACAAATAGACCTTTAATTATCTCTATTTTGTTTTGGTTTTGAGAAAGGCAATGGATTTACCAACAGTTTACCGCTTTCCAGGTGACGACGAGAGTTATATGATTGGAAGTGAGGTTGGTAGCCGACTTGATCTTTTCAAAGGTGCCCTATACAAAAAATTCCCCAATTTGTGGCGTAGAATTGTTACCAAGGATGAAAAGAAAATTTTATCTGAACTTGGAGTGAGTAATAGAGTCCTTGCAAATTGGGAGCTTATGTGCATTAGAGCATCAGACGGTGAAGCAATCTTGCGAGGGGATGGTCAGCAATTCAAAGGTCCTGGTGGAACGAAATCGCGTGGTTTTGTTGTGCCTATCAAAAAAACTTGTTTGCAGAACCAAATCCATGGGACTGCGAATCCGGTAAAAGCTTTAAGAGGCGAAGGTACAGAAGTACATCTTGCTCCACTTATAAACTCTTGTGTTTCAACACAACATCAAATAAAGCCTAAAAAGCTAAAGAGAAGAGCAGAACTCAGAGATCTGATAATGCCAAAATGGTATGATATGGTATCTTTTATTTTAGGCCTTATTACTTATTCCTGCTAATCCAATGAAAACGGCACTAAGTTGTTTATAGTAAACAAACTTGACAAAGGAAAATTAACGCTTTCCTTGAGAGAAGATGAAGAATTTTTTGAAATCCAGTTTCTAACAGGCCCCCTAGCATAAAAGTCATGAGCATAAACAGCAAATGCTACAAGGAATTATAATGAGTTTAAACAACATCCGTTTCCTCTGTTCAATGTTTCTTTCATAAACTATTGAATATTGAATAGGCTAATAAAATTGTGTACGAGGCATCAACATTGGCAAAATTTTGGATTCGAGAGGGGAACTGGGAGGGTAAGAAGTCTTGTTAAGCTGTACGCAGGGTGCCAGAGACTCAGAAGAAGATATTTACGATAAAATTAGCGAATTTTACCCTACAGAAGTGATTCATACGTTTATAAATTTGCTATGAATGGATACAGTCACCAGTGGCGGCGTCACATGTCCACCCCAGTTTTCCCATAAGTCGATTTTCTATTTTCTCGTAGTCCGTTGAAAAACCTTGGGGGGAGGGGGAGTTTGGCTGATCAGATCGATTTCGATTCTCGCACTGGCAAAAAAGGCCACCATTACGAAAAATGCTGCTTGAGAAAGTTGCTTGTTCAAAAAATTTGAAATAGATAAAAATATTAAAAAAGGATTTCCCAAGAGTCTGAAAGGCGCGGCCGAGAAAATTCGTTTTTGTCCACCCAAATTTTTTCGAGCATTGCAGGTACAATCCCCTCAGCCACTTTTCTCAAATCTTCCCGCCTTCTGCATCACAAATTTTGAAGGGTATAGCGGTCTCACTCCTAAAACGACAGATATCGGGAGAGAGGCAACTCTACAACAAAGAAAAGATGGCGACTCCGAAAGCAGCAAACTCTTCAGTTGCCCCTTTAACTTATGGAAACAAACCCAAAAAGTTTCAATTAGAGGACGATGGTGAATCTTATATGATTGGCAGTGAAGTTGGAAATTTTTTACGCCTTTTCCGAGGATCTTTATACAAGAAGTATCCATCTTTATGGCGTAGGCTAGCCACAATTGACGAGAGAAAAAAAATAGCCTCACAAGAAAATGCCAGTGGAAGTTCCCTGGCAACAAACATTACGCTTGTTAGAGCAACAGAGATAGAAGAGATTCTCGAGGGTGATGATGACAAGTATAAGGTTGAATTACGTGAAAAGGTTGCATTACAGAATGTGGATAGAAACAAGGCCAAGCGCGGTAGTAATGTTTGGTTGCCAAATATTTTACCGAACAGTTCCCATCATCTTGATGCAGTTCCAGCTGCCACTCCTATTAACAGAAACAGATTTGGTCCTAAGAGAGTTAAATCTTTCCCAACTTGGTAGGTCATACAATATCCTTGACCAGGGAAAGTTGTTGGCATTTAGCCTAACTTTGTGGTTTGTCATTACTAAAGGTCCTGTCTGTCACCCTGTCATATATTTATAATGTGGATGACACTAAGCAGGCCTATGAATCAGTGATAGGGCCAGCCAAAAGGCTCTGGGGGGACAAAACAAAAATTTTTAGGCAATAACCTTGTAATAAATTGATCCTGCTGAGTGTATGCATTTGTCATGCTCTGTCAACTGGAATATCAATTGAAAATGATCAAGTAAACTAGATAATGCCTTTGCTAAAAGCAGTTATATTAGTGAACCATCCTTATTTAAAATTAAATGACAAATTTGCCTTTTTAAAACCTAGAATTAAATATCTTTTGCAATTGAAATCATCTGCAAATAATGCACTTGCTATCAGAAAAGTTAAGGGCCATCAGATTAAATGTTTGTTGCAAGGATTGATTATATTTATGCAGTCCAGGCTGTCATCCATTTAACTTGTCAATACATAACTGCATTTCCGTACATTTCTCTCAGTTATGACCCTTTGCAATTTTATTTTTCTTTTAACTAAAGTAATTCATCATAAATTTAATGACAGGCAAGTTGCTGGAATGCTAGCCATTTCAGTTTAATAAATTTTTAGTAATTGTGTATTAATGCTGAAAATATGGTATTATGTTGCATTTTATTTGTAGTTATGATGATCATGATATGGCAGCAGTACATGAGGCAGCTGCATTACCAGAAGAACTAATACCTATAAGGTTAGACATTGAAATAGATGGACAGAAGTTAAGAGACTCCTTTACTTGGAATAAAAATGGTAAGTTCACAACATCTTTTGTATTCTTATGTGTACTGCATGTGCTGCAACGACTTTCTTATCATAACGAGATGCACAAATAATGCTAACTATATGAGAAAAATGCAAAATATTCAAAGGCCACTGTTGTTACTTTTGCAAAGAAGAATAAATCAGTTTTCATTGGAAGTTTTGCCTGTTATGTTAAGGACCTAAAACCTATTTAAACCATGGTTGGAAAACTGAATTGCAGATAGAGCAATTATAATTATTATGGATATATTTCATGTAAAAATGTTTCATCAGGCGGTTTGACAGTGTCAGAGTCATAAATTTTTGCTTAAATTTTTTCTTCCTTGCAGTGGTAGCTTGGATGTTTCTTATCTGGGCAGAAATCTATGTTAACTTCCACTCAGTTGTTAGCTCTTTTTGAAAACTTTCTTGTTGACAAGCCAAGCTTTATGAAATGTTTTTCAGAGACACTAATTACACCAGAGTCATTTGCTGAAGTTTTTTGTGATGACTTGGACCTTCCAGCTAACAGCTTTGTGCCAGCAGTTGCATCTGCTATTCAGCAACAAATCAAACAACATTCAACAGAAACAGAAATCAATATGGATGATGCTGCTGATCAAAGAGTTATTATAAAGGTTTTTGTCTTGTTTTCCTTGGTTGTGGCGAAAAAACTTGTCTTTGTTTCCAAATTTGCAATCCCAGCCCCCTGCATGGCAGTGAATGGTAACTAATTGGGTTTACTTACCTAAAAGAGTAACAATGAGCAGATAAATGAATGAATGAATGAGTGAATAAATGAATGAGTGAATTAATGAATGAATGAATGAATGAATTAATGGATGAATGAATGAATGAATGAATGAATGAATGAATGAATGAATGAACGAATGAATGAATGAGTGAATGAATGAATGAATGAACTAATGAGCGAATGAATGAATGAATGAGTGAATGAATGGATGAATAAATGAATGAATGAATGAATGACTGAGTGTATGAATGGATGAGTAAATGAATAAATGAGTGAATGAATTAATGAATTAATCAACAGTGCTGTAAACAAATATTCCCATACTTAGGTGGAAAAAGTTTCATTCTATCCTGCTGGAGAAAAGCAATACAAGAAAATAATAAAGCTTTATTTTTTTATATTGCAAAAGAGTTAAATATGATTTCTGGGACATGAAAGTTGAAGCTGTTACATGTGAGAAACCTAGCACAATTTGTATGTTGTATGGCAACCCCATACTCCCCCCCCCCCACACCAACTCATCTTATTTTTGCAAATCACCTACAATCTTGGGACACAGTTGTTGAGACAAATCCCTAAAATGTGTTGGCTAGCATGAATCTATAGAATGTGTAAACGTTCAATACAGCTGCGAATCCTCCTTGTATGACGAGTTTCAAATGCTTTCTTGATTGTACTTTCCCTAGCTGAGTAAAGGATCCCATATTAGTATCATATTCAAACTGCCGTGTATTAGGTTTATATATTATTGCTACCTTCTTAAAGAATTGTTATTCATCCAAAAACTTTGTGAATGATTCTCACTAAATGTTATTTTGACATATTGTTTTTTAGCTAAATATTCATGTTGGGAATGTTTCACTGGTCGATCAGTTTGAATGGGACATGGCAGAGCCATTGAACACCCCTGAGCAGTTTGCAATGTCATTATGTACAGACCTTGGATTAGGCGGAGAATTCGTTACTGCTATTGCGTACAGCATCCGTGGACAACTGAGTTGGCACACAAAGACATATGCTTTCAGTGAAGCGCCATTGCCAACCATAGACAACCCATTTAGAACAGGAAATGACGTAGACCATTGGTGTCCATTCTTGGAAACACTTACCGATGCCGAAATGGAAAAGAAACTGCGCGATCAAGATAGAAATACGAGGTTCGTTTTAGCAGAATTTTGTAAAATTCTCGTATTTATAACATTTAAGCAAATATTTCTTTGAACAGACGTTATTTGAAGAGCAATTTTAGCTGGGACTGTGACTTGTTAAGTTATGACTTGGTGCTTAATAGTAGATTTAAACATTTTTAAAGCCACCAAGAATCTTCAGTCGATATTTTGTGTGAATAAGTAATGTTGGCGATAAGGCTGTGAGTACCATTATTATTTCGTAGTTTTTTTTAATTTTTCGTATTTTTTATAGTTTATTTCCTTCCTTTCTTTCATCTTTCATCTTTTTTCCGTTTAGTCATTCGATAATCGATCAGTTAACCTGCTCCATATCATTAACATCAAATTACTTAACGTTTCTAACATTTAGTTTCCCCTTAAGAAATGAAGAAAATGTACTTTCAGCCTTTCTATACCCGTTTGCTTTTTTAAAAAAATTTTATGTAACTAATCTGCTTCACTTTTAGGCGTATGCGTCGTCTGGCAAATACGGTTCCAAGTTACATATGATGTATCAGTCAAGCCCAGTATTGATTCACCAAGCAAAGTTGATGTACACTGAGGCACAACAGCTCATAAATTGAAGTCATTGTGAACATGTCACAGCTCAATTATACGGAGATGTGTGCACTACCTTACGGGGAACTTAGTCAACTTACTAAATGTTCATTCAAGTTTATGCTAGTCTCCATTAAGCTGGCTATTTTCTAACTTGCCATGCATCTGTCGAAGATCCCATTAAAGTACATCTTTTAAAGACTTGCCTGGGCATCATTGAGGACGCAAAAACAATATTGTAACTGTTAACCTATCTTGATTTTTATATGAAAAGAATGACACCGTACTCTATACATGAGTTTTAACGAGAAGAAAAACTATCTTGTGTTTGTAGCAATATCTCTTAACGGTTTGACTTCCTAAAGTCTAGACGTCAGTATTTGGTAGACAACAGTATATTTATATCGAGATGTCTCGTTTTGTTAAAATGCAAAATTGTTCCTTGATATCCTTTGACACGAAATCTTACACTGGATCCACCATTGCAAACGCTAAAAGTTTTTTATGTATCATTCTAATTAATAAAAATTGCTCTTTACCGGTCTGCATAAAGTCCTCGATACCGCATAGGCAGATCTGTACACTCTTTTGGTGAACAGAACAAGATAGTGCTAAGTAGTTGCTACTCAAAGAGAAGTATGAGAGTCAATGCAGCAGAGATGTGGTTTCTTTAGAGAATATAAAGAACAAGATGGTTAAGTCTTCAACATATGAAGATGTTTTTGTTGAAGGAGGAGCTGAAAGAGGCTGTTGGAAAAGTTAAGAAACAACTGTAAAAGTTCCTTTGATACTGCATGAGAAAAGACGGAACAGAAAAGCTTACACTTACGGGAAAGATAAAAGGAACAGGGGCAAGAGGAAGAAGAAGTTCAAACATCTTCAGTGATTGGTAGAATGGAGTAGGAAATCAACGTTGGAACTTATTAGAAGTAAGGAAAGCAGAAAAGAATGGCATAAACTGGTCGCCGATGTCACACGATAAGACACAACAACAAGAAGACTCCGAGTATCACGGCAACTTTTCCCTAATGATTCCTAAAGAGTTATGTTATCGTAAAGAGTTATCCTAAAGAGTTAACTGTAAACGTTTCCAATTAATTTTCCGCCATAGGTTATAAAAAGACCTCCTGTAAATTGACATTCTGGCCTACTCTTCAGTTCCATTTATTGGGCTGATATCAAACTATTCAATTTTCGTAGCTGTTATGATTGCGTTCCAGAAAATGTTATGTTGAAGATAGAAATAACTTATTGAAAATGTTTCATTTCTTTTCTCGCCGAATTTCATTTTTGCACCGAAGTTTTCACGTTCTCGCCGAAATTTACACTGAAATTTAAAAAATGTGACCGAATTTCTTTCCACCGAAAACTAGTCCACCCAAATTTTTGGCACCGGATTTTTGGTATCCCTCGTGATGTATAACATTGCCAAATAATCCATAAAAGTAACAATTTCTGCAGGAATAGTTAAACCGAACAAAGTTCCCGTACGATAAATTCAGTTCAAGGTAAATAAGAGGGAAACAAACTAGCTATGATTCCAAGGTTCTTTCAATCAGTCGTCTTAGGAAACAGTTAATCTACAATCTAGATTCGAAATGATTACTAAAATGATATCCACAATACATTCCCAAAACATATCCAATTTTTATTCTGTGCACGCGCTTGTGTTGAAATCGATTAACCCAACAATCTACACTCAACCGATGAACCAACAATCACCCCATCCCCCAATCTCGATGAGATCCCTTTATAAACATCACGGAAATAAAGAAACAAGACTCATTATGTACAACGTGTTCCCTGCAGGGTCTTCATAACACCTCGGTTTGTTTTTCTATCAGTTTCTGTTCCCCTACATTCGCTAGTTTGTTTTTCTATCAGTTTCTTCTTCCTTCAAGGTGATATTTAAATATCCACTGGAGGGGACATTTTTCCATTTTGGATGACTTCTCTAGGAAATTTTCGACCCCTTTTACTCATAGTGCAGCTGCAGATGTTAGCGTTTTATAATTAAGCGAAAGAGAGGCTGCGTGAAATGGAGAAGAAGAACGACCTTCGAAACGAAAACAGAAACGTCAGTGGGTCAAGGTTCGTTAATGCTGCTTAGGGGATTTCTTAGCCGTAGAGATCAGGTTGTTACTGGAAATGGAGTCCCTTCAAGTTTCTGGCAATGATTTTGGATTTTGTACTTCGCTGATAGACAGTAAAACTGCAGAGAAACTTGTTGAAAACGTAAGTAGAAATGAACGAGTTTGGACCCCCAGTCATACATAATGAGTTTCAAAACATTAGTTACTTATGTGTGGACGTATTTGTGTATTCAATTTTTAAAAAACTAAAAGGGCTTACGTATGTTTGTATGCTTGTATGTATACAATCTTTAACGTAAATTACAGGACTAACATAAAAGTTTTTCTACGCCTTGTTTATACAATTCTTTATTTTTCTTGCAGATAAAGATACTTGGTATCCTGAGTATAATATCATCTTCACTGAGGTAAGCACAGGAATAAAGTGTAAGGCTTGAAGAGATCTTTCATGATGTGAGATCGTCAAGACTTCCAGTATATGATTCTGAGTCTTTATTAAGAAGCTATATGACTTCAATGAATGATGTTTAGCCAATAATGTGATTGCAATTTGTTTTGATTGCAGAAATGTAAAAAAGATGGGCTGCTGTAACAACTGATAGGAAAATAGTGGGATCATGAAAAAGCCTAGATTTCTTATTAACTATCAAAATAGAAAAATTTTGGTTGAAAAGCAAAAGATGACATGAATTTTATTTTGACACGAGGAGCAAAATTAAGTCATCCAGGATTGTTCATTAAAATCAATTGAAGAGATTGACTTGATGGAGTGTTGCGACGGTTTACAATAGCAGTGCTTTCTCTTATGTGTTCAATGATTAAACAATGATACTGTAAACACCCTGAAAATGTTTTGACCATACAGATATATACAATACTAGATTTAATTTTTTAAATTCATTTATTTGCTTTTGATAGCACTGATTCCTTTTAATTCAACATTAGCATAATTGGTGCTGGATCTGTCATCATCTTTGTTGTTTACAACAGAATATGTAGAAGCCCTGATGTAAGTATTTTGCCCTTAAGTTCTAATCTTTCTGTGTTTGTTTTTGTGTTTTTCCTAAGATTTTTATTACTTTTTGTAATACATACCTACTGTAATATAAATGTCATTTTATTGGGAGTGGAACCTTTGAAACATTTGGAAAGATGATAAACAAATCCTATCATCTTTAATTATGATAAAACATTTGTTAATAAATTAATAATGAATGTATTATCTGTGGTTTAAAAATTTTCCAAGTCTCAAAATGTAATCATTTTATTATTTTCCATTGTAACCCAGAATGTAATGCAGATCTATTTAGCAAGATAAAAATCTGGCTTTACCTGAATATGTAAATTTTAAATTTTTTAAGTTTAGTTTATAAAAATTGCAAATATAAGAATAGGAATTGAAAGAAAAATAACCTTTTTGCAGGTGAATTCGCTATTCCATCTGTCAATAGCAGACCTTTTGCTAGCATTATTTTGGATAACTGGGCCAATCATTCACTTCAAGCATGAGAATCAGGGCTTTCCTCCATTGGAGATTGGATATTTTTGTGCTACATGGCAAGCACTTTGTGAGGTATTTCTCAGCAAAATCAACTTTATAATCATTTATTCTAATTTTTCTGTTGTCTACTTAATCACTGCTGACATAGTATAAGCAAACTTTTGTTATCATAATGATGTTTTAGATGCTTGTTAATGATGCTTGTTATTTTTTATGTGTTGTTGCTTCCTATGTTTTTCCTTGAATGTTGCAAGTACTTATATAATTTGCCTTAACATGTAGAAGAGGAGCCAGTAAGATACATTGTGTGGACCTATGGCTTGATGAATTTATTGGCTTACTTACAATATTGGGTGTAAACACATACATTAAGAGGATGCTAAAAATGTGTGATTGATTAAGTTACTGTGGATACCAAGTCAATTCAAGGTGTTAATGATGAGAATACAATCCAGGACATTTTATGAATAATAATAATGGTTACTATAATTATAAAGCTGTATAAATGACTGCAGAATAAGATACTGGTGCAAAAATTGCAAGGATGCATACATGGCCAAGAAGCATTGTAGCAATCAGCACTCTACCTCAATTTCCCAGCACACCCTGATACCCTGTGATTCCTGCTTATTTTGGAGTTTTCTATATCTCAATATATAAAGTAGAGCCATGAATGTCAATAAGTAAATTACAAAATACTAAACAGCCTTTGCATTCGAAGCCTTTTTTATCTGTAACAATTTTATTGGAAAGCATTTGTCATATTCAAAATCAAATTGACTGCCCATCTGCTCATTTCTCAACATTTTCTGGACACAATAAGTACCTGTGATAGATAAAGTTTTGTTTATTATCTTATTTAATGCAGGTATATGATGAGCAACGAAATTATTTTCATTTTCCCTTACAGATGGTTCATCTGATGACATTCTTTTTAACCGTCAACTATGCACTGAATGTGTTCCTGAGAATGAAAGAGAAAAAAGATAGGATTGTACTTTTTGACAGCATGGGAGAGTTGCAGGTGTTATTTCAAGACAAAATTATAATGCTTTCTTGTAGCAACTGAGATTTTGTTTTTTTGTGGCATCAGTACTGTATTTCCTCTTATGAGCGCTGCCCTCTAATAAACGCCACCCTCTTATAAACACTGCCCTATGATAAATGCCACCCTCTATTGAACACCGCATTTTGAAAAGAGGTGTTCATTGATAACACACCAAACAAGAAGTAACAAATAGTTTATAAGCTTACTATTTGATAGCTATTAAAGTTGTTATGTCATAGCGACAAGGGCTTTGACATGGATAGGGATATTGACATTCCTTGACATTTCCATAATGTGAACTTTGAAAAAATTTTCCCACAATCTTTATTATGTTTAAAATCTACCTATCTTTTTATCAAACAATTTATCAAACAATCTATCGCTACAATCTTTATTTTGGAAAAGAAAGCATTCTTTAAAGTCTGTTTTTATCTTTTTACATCGGATTACTTCAAAAAAGCAACAGATTTTCGAAGCTACTGCAAAAACTAAACATTAAGTTTTAAATACTAAGTATACAACAAAATATCAAGACTACTGATGTTTTCAATCAATTATAGCGGCTATATTTTTTGTACCTGTATCTGGGTGTAATGTTTGTTTGATTCATTTATATGGCTCTTTGTCAGCTCTGACCAATTAATCACTTGCCATCCCACATGGAGTATTTGGATCAGTTCTTCTGATTCTTTTTCTTTTTTTAAAGATTACTATCAAAATAATTCAAGTGATACGAGAAATCTGCTCGGTAGCATTCAATAATTACTCAATTTTTATCCACACCTGTTGGTTGTATTATATCAAAGGAAGTTTACAAAACTATTTTGAGCCATCTTGCAATCGCCTACTGACTGAAAACCTCCGAAATTGGTGAATTTGGCAGTAGAATTGGTTGCAGGAGAGGTTTTAGATGTTTGGCTTTACTTGTTTAATTGCCATTTTTTGTCCATTTAGACCTCAGGGCAAAATGGCTGTAACACAGAGCGGATCAAGTCAATTGCCTATTTAGTTTGGTGGTATGTCCATTATTTAACCTCATTTTGTAACTTTGACACTCTTTGATTCCATCTGATTCGGATGCAAATACAACTTTTATCTGATCCTGTCTGACCATTTCACAATGATTGATCCAAATTGGTTTTGCTTTACTCATGATTAGGTTGTTTAGTATCTTTAGTATAGAAACAAAAGAGAAGACCATTCATAAAAAGAAATGTGGACGATTTTACTGGTGAAGGACCATGCAAGCCCCTTTTACTTGAAATAGACGAAATCTTCCCATGTCAGAGGGATTTGAATTGCATTCAAACTTTGTTAAAACTCAAACTTTGTCAAATGGAAAAAATTCAATTTTTGTTAAACTATGATAGCTTACTGGAGACCCTCTATGCATTTATAGACTTATATCTGCAGGCATGAATAATTATATATCTTGTGTATGCAAATTAAGCACCAGAAATTTCAAAGTTATTTTTCGTGTACAATTTGATAGGTTGCTTCCAATGGTCTTGATTGCACCTCTGATTTTTGAGATCACTCAACAACAAGCATCTTGCCAACGGTAAGGAGGGTTGTTAGTTGTAACTTAAATCAGTTAATTGCATATGCTGATGCTATGCTTCATCAAACACCAATTCATACTAGAAAAGGAGTAATTAGCTGGCTGCAATAAATGTCACATAGTAGTAACCATTTGTAATACTGTTTATCGTGGTCTTTGGCAGTGGCGGCTCGTGACTTTCACAGTTGGGAGGGCAGATCATCAATATTGTGATAATCGATAGAAAGGTCGAGTTTGCAAATTTTTCACTGTATTCATGGTTCGATGTTGATTGTCATGGAGCGCAGAAGAAAAAGCATATATAGATGTGGTTGTTGTTTAGCGATGATGTCATTTTATGGGCAAAATTTTTCTTGCCCCGAATTCCTCCAAATAAGCCAATCACAGGCCGCGTTTCGCAATGCTCGAGGTCGAAAATTAGCTTGTGCGCATGTCGGCTAGGGGCAAAAAAAACTTTGCCCGTAAAATGACATCATCGCTCAAGGCACTAGCGAGCCAGAAGCGAGGCTAAGGACGAGACGGGATAGCAAGGAGCTTTTTCTAGAAGAGATACAAACTTATATAATTAACCACAGTAAGACTATCTTCAAAATTAAATATGAATATCATAGTTTTCCTCTGAATCTTCTTGAGGGGGCATTGCCCCAGATGCCCATTAGCAAAAGCCGCCATGGTCCTTTGGTGAAGGAGCTACGGGTCCTTCCCTCACATTTAGCAATACAAAATAGATTTTTTGCTACATTTTTGTTATGAGTTTGTAGTTTAACTCCTGATTCCCCACTTTCCAACTCGCATCAGTTTAAAAGCGCAATGTCCGTCACTCAGTGTACATTTCATGCCAGCAATAGTTCGTCAGCCTATCTACAATTTAGAAACTGGGACATGGATTGCAGTATTTTATACTTAATCTCGTTAAATATCGGTGTTATATTTTAGATGCATCATATTACTAGATGCTCCTCGTACAACAACGTGAGTTATTCCAAACTTAGATTTGGTCGAAAAATGAACACCTTTTGGTGAAAATATAACCATTAGGTATAGCTTACTACTCGTTCGGCTTATTCCCCCCCCCCCCCCCTGCACATTGGTCTGTACCCTGGGTGCCAGAGCCTCAGAGAGTCAAATTATGAAGAACGGGGAAAGGATTGACTCTCTGAGGCTCTGGCACCCAGGATAATTGGTCCGGTGCATATTACACTCAAAAAATTTAACTCGATCTCTGTTGTTGATTTGTTTGTATCGTGGTTTTCTTTCAAAATTTCCACTAATACTAAAATTAAGGTTCACCTATGGAGCCAGAAGTACTGCCTGGGAGTAGGGGAGGGAGGGGTTGCTGTGTGTAGTTAAGTGATACCAAACTTTAGCTACGGGTAATAGTTTTTGGGCAAAATTATGTGCCCGTCTTGAGGTTTTAGTATATAATGCGTATAGTTTTTGTTGTTTGTAGTAATGGAGGTTTAGGCCTGAATGGAATGAATTGAAATCAAATTTTTTAATTTTAGGCTGATGATAAACTTGGTAAATACAATGGCTATGTCCTAATGATAGCAACCCTGACTTTTGCTGTTTTTTCTATTATCGTAAGTTTAGTTGATATTTTAATTTGCCAAACTTGAAGATACTTCCTGTATTCCTCCATTTTGAAAGTCGAAAACCAATTTTCTTTGTAAAAATTATTGCTTCAATAACTCTGTCAAATAATTGAAGATTTTACTGCAGAGCTTAACTCTTTGTTCCAACATTTCTGCGTGCGTATAAAATGGTAATGTATATGAACAAAGGTGCACAAAGGCGATGTAGCATTCATATCACGCTTCTTATTCTTTTTAACAAATACTTTTGTAGATTGTAAATGATAATGCTGTCCCCCCTACCGGGGGCAGATGTTGCTTAAAGAATAAATTCTGGGAAGTACAGAAAAAAGGGGTTTTTCTGTAACAGAGGTATATTTTCAGGATTTGGGTTTAAGTATATGGTTTTCACTAAAAATATTGGTCTTTCATTATAAACGTTGCTAAAAATAAATGCTTCATGGTTTCATGAAGCGTTTGAGCTGTATTTTTGCTGTCGAAAGATTATCACCGAAAAAGAGTTGTCAAAATATTGGATCGCTGTTCTGTGTGATTTTTTGTATATTCCTGTATTTTAGAAACTCGAAAATTAACCCTTAAAGTTGTCTACTGAGTGTAAAAATCC